CGTAATATCGATCGTTACCAATCAAGTGGGCTCTGTAAACTGGAAACTGCGGTTTCATGAATCGGGTACAAGTAACTTACTCATAGTGATAACCCTGTTAATGCGCTGGACACCCACTTTCGCCTCCTCACTTATTGTAAGCACCTCTTTCACAGAAAGCCAGTGAACAAATAATTCTCAAGCAACTTATTGGAGATAGTGATTTTAAGGGTTAACCGACCTCCCAGCACCCGCTTCCACCCAATTAGGCATTTAGAGGCTGGTTACCCTGGGTTAGTTTCCAGTTATCTTGCCTATTGCGAGTAACCTTTTCAACCATCGCAATAGTGATAAAGGCTGTGAAAGTGAAGGCCTTTCCCATCTTTAAATTTACTTATGAACTACGATTCTTTGCAAGCCTACTGGTCTTTTCTAAAGGTTGTTCAAGTTAGTCTGCTATTTCGTAATTAAGAGCTCTACATCTCTTAGTATCAGCCATCTTAATTGTCACGAGTTAGCTAAAATATGAGCGTATCCATGGTAAAGGTTGCTATGCCACCAGACTGCCGCCTAGAACTTTTCGCGCAAACTGACGAACGTCATGAACCGTAACTGGTGTTTTTTCCAGCGTTTTTCTTGCGTTTCAGTATAAAAGTAATGTGAAATTGAAGACTGATGCAGAGCTACATTTCATGAATCCAGTTAAATTTACAACCTGGGACGATGTCGGGGCAGTCATCACTTCACCATTCGCAACTTATACGGCCTTAGCGTCTGTATTTTCAAACCTAGATGAGATTTTTGAGCTACTTTCGTCGTACATCTAGTACAGCAGGAAAAAGTTTAGGATTTTCAGTTACCTAGAGACCAGTGGATTGGTTGCATATTAGCTCGTATAAACGATTTAGAAAATGACCTTAGAACGAAGTTTTACCCGACCCAACCGACCTGGATAATGTAGCTGTCTGATAAACATAGTCAACAAGTGGACTACTTTGACCAAATTCTTTCACTCATACGTCGTATTTCTCTTGGAAACAGCATCCACATAAACCAAACTTATCAGATTATCCAAACCCTTGTGCTTACAATTCGATCCTTTAGGAGATAAGGAAATTTCATGGTATTGGTGTTGTGAAACAATTCATTTTAGCGATCGGTGTGTACCCCCGTGTTTAGGACTAATGAATGTGAGCCAGCTCCGTCGGATGGAAGCTTCTGCTGTCTTTCTCTCAGATACAACAGGTCCTGTAAAAAAAACGAACTGCGCAAGCTGGAAATATTTTGCTCTCGTGACAGCCTATGCCCAGTGTACTGCACTCGAGTAAGTAAATGGGTCTAGGTTAAATTATAATTATGAAGGACTGTTCTCAGCACAGTGGGATCGTCAATAGTGATAACTTTGTGATAGCACTTATACCATTCAAATGTTGTGTCCAGGAGTCTTGCTTTCATAGTACGTCAGAAGGAATTACTCAGCTATTTGAAAAAGGCGTTTTGGCTGAAGACGGTTTGTTGTTGTGTAGACAGACAAAATGAATGCCACTTCATTCCCCTCGAAAATTTCTCAAACGACCAATAAAGCCTGAGAATGGTCTCAGTAATTCATTGTTATCCTTAGAGTCAGTGGCCCACACAAGCTCGTGAACGGACTGACAAATATTCAGTGCTTAGAGTGACATCACAATTGCATGCTACTGATCCACACAAGGCCATTCCGGATAACTTCGATGATCACATTTTTTGCAATGGCCCTATGGAACATTGGAGCGTCACTTTGCTCAGCAAACTGCTTCACTCGTAACCCTCGAACAAGAAAACTTTCGTCACTAGGACCAATCGCATTTGGTCAAAAGCACTTCGGCAGAATAGAGTCCGTATCTCGGAGTTCCGCTTTTGCAACCACTCACCTAAACTAATCCCGAGTTACAGGTCGACTTTTCGTACCATGCGGGTACATCAAAGACCCGAGGCAACTCGGTATGACTTATAGCGAACTTGTGATCGGTGGCAGATCGCTTGTGCCTGCCGCCATCCACCAATTACGTCGTGCGATTATACTGACCAATCACACCGCCTCTGGCACGATATATTACCAAATAGTTGTTCGGGTTTCGTATCGGAACTAATTCACATGGACCCGTATCAAGATTTATCAGCTTGGAATCTTGGTGGTCCACCGAGTGGGAGAAGTCCGTATCCACCCACCGGAGTCCAACCGGGGGGCTACCCAGGAGAAGCACTCCCCTATCCTGGTGGAGGAGGTTATTTTCCAGACCCCGGAAGCGGCTTTCCCACTTTCCCAGCGGTGTACCCAGAACATTCGATGTTTCCAGCGCATAACTACCCTCCTTCCTATGGAACCTATGCTAATGAATTTCCACCGCCCTCAGCAGCTACTTCTGGGACTTCTGCTACTTCGGGATATAACTACCCTCCAGCAGGTGGGCTAAACCCAGCTGCGTCAGGCTATCCTATATGCCCTCCGAACACATCGGGGATGGGTTCGGGAATGGGAATGGGTAGGGAACTGAAACCACCTTCAGATGGATTTGGCTATGCTTCCTCACCTTCATGGAACCCGTCGGCGGGATTCAACTCCAGCAGAGCAGAATTTCATCCCCTGGGAGAACAGGTTGTGACTGGCGCTTCCGGTGGTACGTCAATCTATTCACATTACTCAGACGACATAGATGTGGTGAGTCTTTATTTATTAAAAGTGACTCAAAAAAGCTTAGTTACCAGGTCCCAGTCAACAGCTTGTGCACGAATATTGTCAATACTATGACGTGTGATTTAAACCCCTCTGTTCTCTTGTCATAACCACTACCTTGCACGATGTAGTTTCACTATCTAATTGCCTAATTTTGACCAACCTACTGTAGTTGGAAAAATGTGCGGAGCTGGACGCTAACAGGAAGTATGCCAGAAAAATGCAGTACAAAAGAGTGGCCGTAGCTCATTACAGCTTGATGGATACAGGCCGAAAACGCTACCAAAGAGGCGTGCAGTGCAGCCGTTAAACCCCACTAGACCGCAGGTGCTCAACGTTGCAACCTCAGATTCAAAATTATTCAATTTCTACCAGTTATATGATGTTAGTCTGTTTGATTCCCCTTATAAGCCTGAAGCTAACTTGGAGAACAACTTAACGGTTTTATCTTCCTCTGTACACCATCTATAGCGATAAACCACAGAATAAGGTGGGTGTAGTCACACGAGACGTACAGACTGAAACCTGTCTGGTCAATAGACAAACTCGGAGTTACGCTCACGTAGTTTTGACCACCTGACACTGGCTTGTACATGTTGGTCAGTCCTTTGGGTTGGTTACCACCGAGAACTTTGATCAGAGCCAGACCTTGCTTTTTGTGTTGAGTGTCTGGTAACTGAAGTGATAGAGAGTAACATGTTGACATTTCATTTCATCATCCGTCGACATGAAAATTGCACCCTCACAGGTGAAAGATGCACAAACAACACTGAAAAGTAAAGAACCATGTGATCAGGTTAGTAGATAGTAGTAGTAGTATGCATCATTTTTGAACACAGAAGTGGTTAGTTTATATGAAGTGGTAATGCTTCATTGAATGTAGACATGTAGAAACATGTAGATCACGCATTGTGGTGGTGAGCGACGTACTCGCAATAACCGAACTGTTTCCTGTTAAAGAGTGCTTGGCGTTTGATCAGTGCGTGAGTGACTGCATGCCCTCGACGGACTTTCGTGGTTTCAATTCTAATGAGTATTTTGAATTGCATTAGGTGGTTTTGTGTGACGAAGACATCTATCAGTTCTAGCAATATGTCGCCCCTGAAGGAACATAAGCTGTTACATGCGAAACCGGATAAAGGATAGGGCGTACAAGGTTTTGGCCTTCGAGGTGAGTATATCGTCCACATTAGCAAGGCCGGGGAGTTTGGATTGATGCGCTGATCACCTGTGCAATACAACAAGTGTAGGAAAACCCAAAAACAATCAGAAGGAAACCCCTTGCTTTCATATTGCCTAGAATGGGAATGGTCTAGGCTGTTGCGTCTCCTTAAGAAGCACTCCACATATCTTCTCAGTAGACGACCACGTTGTGAGGCAACTGATGGAAAGCAGAGTTACTAGTTCACAAGATTGTCAATTTGCTTCTCTGCTTTTGCCTGTTTCCCGGGAGAGATGGGGAGGCTGACAGAGCTAATTGCCCTGAACTCTCTGAAACAAGTACTCCGCGTTTCTGCTCCTAGTCTCCTAATGGATGCGTTTTTACAGAGTTTAGGAAACATTTTCGATTTATTACAAAACTGTGTTTGTCTGATTACCTCAATTTTTCTTCCAAATTTTGGTATTGGTGTTTTTTGGTCCCTGATTGTCCCGCTGGATGGACTTCCATAAAATTATTCGGTCTTACATTATAGTCATTCGCGAACCTCATACATTCCACTCCACATTCCTGGCATGCTACTTCTGAGCGTGTACTTCTTGACAAGCAGTCTCAACCTCCCAGCTTTGACCACTTGTTTGCAGACAGTCTGCCACACGGATAGCAATGCCGGCATCCCCTCTTCAGCTAGCTGTCCCAGAAATGAAGAATCTATCTTTTCCTGCAGTCTTAGCCTTTATTTAATTCACAACTGAGCTCTTTGCATTATCCTGATTAAGTTATATCCTACATGCCCTAGGTTTGATATCTCTGGTATCTTCTATACCAACGAAAACCTGCACTTAGAATGCGCATTTGGTAAGCCTTTAGGATGAAGTTTTCTGGGCATCCAAACGGCACACTGAATGTCCCCGCAGAGTTTTCGGCTTTGTATGGGTTCCCCACGGGTTCTCAAGCTTGATGACGTTAGAAAAGCGATTTCGCCGGCTTAGTGCCTTTGCTCAAAGAACCACAAGCCATCTGCAGATGAGACAGGAGCTGTGAACTGCTGCACACGGCTGTTGGAATACATCAATTGTCTATCTAATAAGGACAACAGATAGCAATACTATTCCCCCGGCGTCTGGATTTACGTGGAAACTTTCATCTTGAAATCTCTACCGGTCCCAGATACAACCAAGACGGCTTAAGACCAAATTTAGCGTCTCTATCCTCTAACACAATAAACGCTACACGCTGCTCACTCCATAAATTCATCAACCAAGCTTATTTGAAGTCTATACAGCAGCAAGTAAGACTCGCGGGTATACTAACAATCCAAGCCTACACATTTGTGAAACTCCAATACTCCAAAAGTGGGCAAATAAGTGGCTGCCCTGTAGCGAAACCCAGAACGTTTCAGTGAAAACGTCATCGCGGGAAGCGGTGACTTTGAGGCCAACTACTCGGAATTGTTGGTGAATAAAACTTGCTGAATTACGTGTTATTCTCAGGCGACCCTGCAATTCTCTGAAGCTGAATTCGGTTATTTTTGGAGCTCTACATAAACTGTTTGAGAATTTACCCCTGTAGATCATTGTCAGGTCTTGATATGCTACGTTATTTTGAAAAAACTTGGCGGTCATATAATTCATATCGGTATTTATGCATAATTAGTGGAATGATTCTCCAAAGTTGTAACTTCAGTATGATTTCTCGAAGATTAGCCTGGTGCTCAGGCCCTTCTAGAAAAGCTGGCTTTCGGTCGATTTATTCAATTGGCCCCTCCAGAAGAGTCACTGGACCATTTCACCGATACATTTGACTGTTATTTTTGGCTACGAGCGTACTCCTTTATTTGGCAGCCACCAGGACAAGTCACTTTGCTCACCAGGCTGGTAGAGTGAAATGTTGTACAACGCTAAATCGATAACTGGGCTGCTTTGGTGATTTGTGGGATCAGCAATTCCTTCATCATCTTCAAACGGATGTACACAATAATCCCATATGAATAATGATAGAGCCCTTTGGGTTTCACTGTATCCATTTTCAGTGTCAAAGGGCCAACAGCACTGACAGTTTTTCGCCTTCTCTTCTTTACATTTATATAGTTTGCTCCAACACTGAGGCCATATCCTGATTTCAACCCCGTCCATGATTGCGAACGTCTACGAAAAGCAATGAAGGGTGCTGGTACGGACGAAAAGACCATCATCGATATCATGGGTAATCGGTCCTGGGAACAGCGGACAAAAATTGTCTTGCAATTCAAAACCATGTACGGGAAGGATTTGCTAAAAGAGTTTAGGTCCGAACTGAGCGGGCATTTTTATGAATGTGTTGAGGCATTGTGTTACTCACCAACCGAATTTGATGCCATGCAGTTGAGGAAGGCAATGAAAGGTGCCGGAACTGATGAAAGTGCTTTAATTGAAATCTTGTGTTCTCGATCAAATGAGCAAATCAAACGCATCAAGGAAGCATTCGCTCGAAGTAAGTCGTGTATTCGAAGAATAGTGACAGAAAGTTTACGATTATATAGATATGGTACTTGAACAGCTTTACAAAAGTAAGACTGTGCGTGAGTGATGATTGCGGTTACGAATTTGTGGGATTTAATCATGTATATACACGAGAGTGTGAATGGTTGATTTGGCGACCAATAACCTACAGCCTAACTTTTGCCAGTCCTCTGAAACATCCCCCACAAACACCATTGAGCCCCAGTCCTCAAACACTGCCTTTGGATCGATGGATAGGACATTACTGGGGTCACTGCCAGTTCACAAAACGGACTATAGGTAGCCTACAATTGAAGGATGGCCATTCACAAAATGCACGGATATTCAGTCAAAGGAACCTTCCCTCGAGTAGCAAGTGAACATCAGGTTAATTTATGTAAGCTGTGATACTGAACGGTAGTAACGCTGTCTTCTATCTACAAGCACAGCTGATCAGCTTCTCTTCGTCGAACGATAGTATTCATCTACCANTGCACCTACCAACTGGAAGAGGGGGGATTCAAATGTGCTCAGATCTACGTGAGACGCCCACTCTTTATGACGCACAACAAGGCTGAGTCAGACGTAAAGTCTTTCTCTGCTTTTTAGCATACACACTTGATAAACTTATAGGATGGAATCACACACAAGGACTCAAAACCAGCCGACAAGGCCATTTTGTCTCAGACTGGTTAAACTAAGAAGTAGAGTGCTAAGCCATGCACTGCGCACAATACTGCTACCTCTATTACAAGTCAAGTGATTAATCATATGATTGTGTTTGGTGATCAAGCTTTCCGAGTTAGATTAAAAGATGGTCTTTGTGTGGCTAGTCAACAAAAAATCGTTTGACGGTTTTAATACATGCGCTTGATGAGCCCTAGTAAAGACAAAACACATGATGGAGCGTGCTTTTTAGACTGACTGAATTTCTTTTTCAAGTAGTTTGATGGAGCTACCAGTCTTGGTTACTAAATCCAATAATATTTCGATTACTGTAAAACGGTCAGAAAGTTTCGTTCGATAGGTCTCGATGCACAAGGATAACCTGATGATGACCAATTCATTGGCTCTAACTTTTACCGAACATTTTAGCGAAAGGTACGATCGAGATTCCTTTACAGGTATGGAGCTCTCATTGTTAGTTTCTAACACAATGGACAAATACTTTTGATTGATTGCCTGGCTTAAACTAATCGAAGGCACTGAAGAGAAACTTTCGATTAAAACAGTCAATTGAGCTGACTCATTGACACCAGCTATGCACAATTAAGCTTATACTCCAGTTCCGTGAAATAGTGATGTGTTAATTTAGCCCAAGAAGAATCAGTGATTTTATTCAGTGGTAGGTTCCAAAAGTGGTTTACAGATGGACCTAACGGACTGCTTTATCGCCCAGTCATCAAGTGCGTCAACTCATCCTGATGGCGTAAAAGGTGTCCGTTAACATTAATGGGCTAAGATGAACATAAGGGGATAAGGTGGCTTTGAAGAATGCGACAAAACCGAAGGATGATGAAAGCGGTCAAATGTCGAAAGAAATAACAACCAAGCGCGGCAGTCATACAGAAAATGTTCTAAAATTTTTCCCGTTAAATTTTTGACACCAGGAATTCAGAACTCTGTCACCATACTGCCCCGAGGAGCTTATTAAATTCTAAAATGAAAACAGAACAACATGATTTACCAACTGCTCTGGGGATATTTACTCCGGTTAATGTTGCTAGTTATTTAAAACCCGTGTTTTATTTGCATTTTGAAGTGAGGTATCTGGCTCTTTTTTCGGCATGTGGAAATCTAATCATTTTTTAGGATGATGGGAAAACTTTTAATCGGATCAACAATACAGCACATTTTCCGTTTGCTTTTTTTCTTAAAATGAACAGCCTAAGCATAACTAGGATGGGTCGGACACCATAAGTTACCATAGTAATCCGTCAAACAGTTGCTTTATAAAGTCGAATGCTTTAGAAAGAAAGTTAACTCAGAGTCGATTAGCCTTTGCTGTTGGCCAGGCAAAAGTGTATCTAGTTAGTGTGGAAACAATATATTCTAGCTACCGCTACCGTCAAGTTTAGAACTCATTATATTTATGGCCCATCAGGATCCCCGATAAATATTCCAACCTGGAGTTGTAGAAGGTTGTGCTTGAGCGAGGTTCTCAGTGAAGGAGCTCTATTCTACGTGAATCAGGCGTGCGAAAAACTAATCAAGCTCACACGAGACCGTCCAAAATGAATCCATCTTTATCTATCCGGTAACACATCAGGTATAGTGAGCCAACAATTATTGAGGTAAACCTAGCACGGTTTTAATTAGCGCTCTGACATCGATTGTGCACTGTAACTCAGTGATGTTGCAGATTTAGTTTTCAGAGTATGATAAAAATGTAGGTCACGACTTCAGAATGGGTCCACTGACGATTTTAGGAGTCCTGTTTACCAACCAGAGTTTTTTTTCGGCTGTCATATCCACCAAAACTATCCTCATAGAACAATTTTTCCCTCCTATCCGAATTCTCCTTCACTTTTGTGCTTGGTACGAAACCGAGATAGTCTTGTTTATTCTGTACAAACGATGACCTTCTTACCAGCCATTAGTAGTAATTTACAAGAACACCAAAATGGATCAACATAACTAAAAAACCTTAAGCCCTCTTGTAAGCACGGAAAATTTTAGGTATGGCATTTTGACGCAATTCTGCACTTGTAAAAATGGTGCGCTTTCTGAAACAGAATGACCTAAACACTTTAGTTCAGCTGAAAGTTTTTTGCCAGAACTAAACGGCTTCCTGCAAGAATACCAGGGGGAAACCGATAGTAGTACTAGCTAGTTTGAATCGTGAGAACAGAGTTTTGAATGTACTAAGCTTCGCCCGCAGATGGAGAATTATCAACGTTTTTTTACGGATATTCATCTCCGAAGAAAATCCCCAGTGATCATGAGTTACAGCTAGATTTGCTGACTATCGTCTGCCAAAGGGAGTGAAACTGCTTGAACCGCTGTATGAATAAGTACTATTAATCCGGCTAAAATTTAAGAACTGTAAACCCGAACTGGTTGCTGAAAGTCAGTTCATGGTGTAGAATATTTAGCCCGACTTTAAAGTTCAGTCATTCTGCTTAAACCATTTCGGTATAAGCGTTCGTTTAAGGACGCCTGTCTTAGGCGCTTGTGACCGCACTTTGGTCAGTTTGCAACCTACATCTTTCGTTGACTCTTGCTCCTCAGTGTATTCTGGACGAAATCTAGAGAAGGATGTGGCAAGTGAAACGTCAGGACACTTTAGGCGAATGATGATTAGCCTGCTTCAGGCAAATCGCGATGAAAGTAAAACAGTAGATCAGGCACTCGCTCGGCGGGATGCGGAAGAACTGTACAGAGCCGGTGAGAAGCGACTGGGCACAGATGAATCTACGTAAGTTTTCATGAGCAACCATTACATTGTACATGCAGTTTTGTCCCACAGTTTTATCAAAGCGATTTACCAGTATTTCACTTAGAATGATCGTATAACGGAATTTCAGCCCCGAAACCACCAACCTCACGGATAGGAAATCTTCAATGAAAAGCAGCAATATTAACCCTATCAGCCTCATTATATAAAACTTTTTACTGGACACACCTCGAAATCTATTGATCGAAGTCTCATCCGTAGGCTTGGTTACCAAACCAGTACTGTTGGAAACCTAGTGCTCCAACCATCGACAAGGGGCTCCAAGTCGAATTCTGACCAGACAGGTAAGCTAATTTATATCTCAGTGAGTGCCCTAAAAATGAACCCCCCCCAGTTTGAGGCACTGTCCACTGAGATGTAGAAGTCAGGTTACCATAAGTTCCTTGCACTCAACACAAGTTAGATGTTCACATTTTTCACAAACCTAACCGAATAAATGTGTAGCAGGGAGCCACATTTTCTACTCCCGTAAGAACAAGATTGTAGTAAAAGACCTGCGTGACCATCTAAATATATAGACTTAGGGATATTGCGTTTTGCTATTGGGTGGGTCCAAACGGAAGCCGAATTGTTGGGCCCTCGCAGAAGACTGCATTCTCTTCATTTCATCCCCAGAATACAGTAACCGATTCTCCGAGGCCCAATCCTCCTCTACTTGAAAGACATAAGACGGCCATAATAATATATGAACATAATGTCGTTGAGTTAAGAAATAGAAATGAGGAGTGAACTAGATTAGGCTACAACTTTGAACGAAGCTTACTCCATTATTCTTCGTTGCTTTTCAGGTTCAACAAAATTCTAGCCTCAAGATCTTTTCCACACTTGCGTGCTGTGTTCGATGAGTATTCAAAAGTGAGCAGGAAAGATATTGAGCAGGCTCTCAAATCTGAAATGAGTGGTGATCTGCTGAGATCAATGCTGGCAGTTGGTGAGTAATGGTTGTCTAGAGTTCTATTTTCTGTGAAGAATTCCACATCAACCCCTGATCAACCTAAATTATGAGTTTTGATAATGTGCTGTAAGCACTTTTAACTTAGGAATTCTTCAAGCGTAACTCCGCATTAGGACATAAGTATATACCTTTGGCCTGGCCTCGGTATTATGAGAACAGTGAGTTTCCAACATCTATGAATGTAATGATCATCATCATTGTTGGTAAAATCCACTAGCAGTATATAATGGTGCTTAAATGCCACATGGTATAATGAGAACAGTGAGTTTCCAACATCTGTGAATGTAATGATCATCATCATTGTTGATAAAATCCACCAGCAGTATATAATGGTGCTTAAATGCCACACAAACGAGAGAAAAGAAGGCCATAGCAAAAAGTAAAAGGCAGAAGGGAGAACCTGGTGTACAGAAGTCCCTGGTCCTCAGGGAAGGCGAAGAATTAGGTGCCCCACCCTTCGGCAGCATCTGAGTATTACGCTGAAGTTAGTCGTTACATGCGGGATTGACTCAGCTTCCTTTGTAAGCCTTTCCAGCATGCGTGCTACAGGGATCGGTTGCATGTCATTTCCTGCCGGAGGCTCCAACACGTACAAAGTGGATCGTGTTGATCAGGGACAGGAAGGCGTGAAGAATTCATAGCATTCACTTCACGCTGCCATATCGTTTCCTGTCTCCTTCGAACCTTTCACAAACTATGGCTTGGGACAAGAAAAGGCGCTTTCTTGGCTAGACGGCGGTTGAGCACGTGTTGTGTGTACCCCAACTCCTTCAACCCAATAAGATTAATCGGCCTCTCTGAATAGTCTGATGAGTTGCAAGTGTCATCCTTCACACCAGTAAGTTATCACAGAGGTCATCTACATCCTGCTGTGGAGACAAAGGTGATCAAATGTATGAAGAAGCCTAAGAACCTCATATCGGAAAGGCCAAGTTCCGCGGCCATAAAACAAGAACGTCTTTACAGATGTCTTGTATGTAAGCCTTTTAGTTTCATCGATAGTCTTTCATGACGGCACAAATGACACAAGGGGCAAATGCGACTCGTGGCTTGGTTATTTCCCCACTGAATTCATCGCTTATAGTAAAATAACGGCTGTGAGGCTGCCAAGTTAAGTGAGTTGGTGAACATACTGATGCACTTTATTCTAAAGTTTCAGAAAAGCATAAGACGATAGAGAATCTCCAAGTGTGATTTGACACTTTGAAGGTGCGAAGCGCGTGCCGAAACATGCGTCTGTTGAATGTGCTTTGCGCAAAATGGATAATCGTCACACAAAAGATGATGTCAACTACATAGTCCAAGTCCACTGGTCTCTCGTCAGAGACGAATTTGTTACCCAGATTCGTGGTCCCTTGGGTTGTGTAATCCACGATAATGTCGATGACAAAGTTGAACAAAAAAGCGAAGAAGGGACAAACGTGATGAGAATCCACTGGTTGGTGGGAGGCTTCTGCATTTTAATTCCTAAGCCGACTGAATGGATGGGAATAAAGAACATGGATAAAGTTTGGTAACTTAAGGGTATCACTCTCTGGCCAAAAATATTTAGGAGAGCCAATGTATCTACAGAGTGGGAGGCTGTTTGAGAGTCCACGAAGACCACGACTGTTGGTTGAAGGTACACGTGGCGCCTCTCAGACACCTGGAATAATGTAAGTAAATGGGACAACAACTACCAACCCGAACTCGTGCTTGATAGTCTTGGACCTGCGTCTCAAGGCTCGAATGAGGGGAATGCAACACAAGAGAGCCAGTAGCTTTGCTACCGCAAGCGTCAGACTAAATTACGTACGGTTGAAACAGTTGATTCTGGCAATGGTACGAACACTGATTAGGCCCATTTATCTGAACTATTTCTTCTTCCCAAATACATCAGAAAAACCTAGGCAAAATGTGAAACGAATATTCACCTTCATCTCTGATTAACACCTGGGGAAACTTACTTGGTACAGTGGGCCCCTAACGACAATTATTCATAATTTTCATCAGTGTGTACTCCACAAGGCGGCACCCCAGTTTGCCGTCCAATTTGTTTTCCTGAAACTCGAAATTCTAACTAACTGTTTTCCATGATGTCGTTTTCATTCCCGTCAGTGCGCTGCATTCGAAACAAGCCAAAATACTTTGCATATGCCCTGAAGAATGCCATGAAAGGCGCTGGAACAAGGGATCGGGCGCTCATTAGGCTTGTGGTGTCTCGGTGCGAGATCGACATGGCCAAAATCAAAGAAGAGTTCCAGAAAGAGAATGGCAAATCTTTGGAGTCGTGGATCACTGTAAGTTGTCTTAAAATTTTCATCAAACCATATGAAACTCTCTGCTTCTGGTTGAAACAGTGGCTGTTGTTTGAGTAATTCTAGGATGTGGAATCCCCTAAAACAGTAAAGTAAAAGTACCTTAATTCTCAACACCCCTATTGCTTACTGTCCGATATCACTTCAGCTTTTAAAGTTGATGAAGTTTTTTTCTGCACAAAATCAAATCCACTACTCTCCAGAGGACTGTGTCCGTGCCCCACAAACGTCTCTGGAGTGAGAAAACCAATTGATCAACCCGGATTTAAAGTTATTTCGTCAAGCTCGGTATGGCCATTGGAGAGAATCACAATACCAGCCATAAGCTTTCGAAAGGTTAATGCAGCAAGCAAGGTGATTTCTTGAAGCTTCGATGAAGTGACCTGGATGTTCTATGAACGTTTGCGTCGCACAGGTTGCGTGTGCATCTGCTGATCCATACTCGATCGATATTCGATCGATACATCGTAAAACCATAGTTGCCTCCTGGAAGTTAAGCGCTGGTACGTGTTACTGGTGCATTGCTGTCAATTATGATGGTTATAGGGACTGAAGTGTGACCGAAGTTCTTTAAATGTAGAAACGATAAGGCACACGCGTAAGAGAAAATCCATCGTCACCTTATATTGCATGATTCCGCGTGAATCATTTGTCACGAGCAGTAGCTATCGCAACATTTACTCAAGGCTTTCTTATATGGTGATGGGATTGTGCAAGTCTTCCATTGCAATTTAAGTGAGAACAGGTTCCAACGCAATTTTTTTATTTTATCAGTCCTTGTATGAACTTGTGGTCTATAATAGTGATTCAGTTAAAGGCATTTTTGTTTCTTCTTATTCCATTGAGCTGATGATCCAATTGTTTAATACTTTGTACGGTCCCTATACCGTGTTTGTGACGGGGACTGTATTCAACATCACACACAAAAACCGACGCCAACAATTTTTATTCGTAACTACAGCATAGAAGCAGTAGCCTCAATATGATCTAGTATCAAATCGTCACCATCAGCAAAAACAATAACATTAGTGTTGACGTTAATGCTTTACTACCACACAAACGGTTTGTTTATTTAATTATAAATAAGGCCTTAAAGTGAAAAGAAGAGAAACGAGGGAAGTAGGGATCTGATGTTGGCTTCTAGCAAGCATTCTGAGGTGTAGACACCCCCAAGCACTCAGTCGGTCAAACTGAAAAGAAATTGACAGAATCCACGCTATTGACATCTACTGGCCACCATTTCTTGCAGTGCCT